GCACTTGGACGTCTGGGGCCCCTCCCCGGTCCTTGGACCACGTCAGGAGCGCTACTTCCTGATTGTGGTGGACGACTACTCCCGCTACACCACGGTTTTCCCTTTGCGACGGAAGGCCGACGTGCCTACCGTCCTCGAGCCGTGGCTACTAGCGTGGGGTGGCGCCCAGGGCCTGTGTGGGCTTCGCCTACACTCGGACCGTGGTGGTGAGTTTTCTTCCACTCGCCTGGAGACGTTCTGTCAGGGTCGGGGGATTATCCAGTCTTACACGCTACCAGCCTCGCCGCAGCAGAACGGGGTAGCCGAGCGACGCACCGGCCTGGTCATGGAGGTTGCCCGGACCTCCATGTGCCATGCCGGTGTCCCCCCAGTTCTTGTGGCCTCGGGCAGTCCACTACGCCGCACACCAGCTGAACCTGTGGCCCAGTGACGCACGGCCACGGGTGACGCCGGTCTCCCTTTGGACAGGTTCTCCGGGCGTAGCAGCTGACTTCCGTGTCTGGGGTTCTCTGGCTCACGTTCGCGCCCCTGGCGCGAACAAGTTGTCTCCGCGCACTCGTGCCTGCGTCTTTCTTGGCTTCCCTCTGGACGCCTCCGGCTGGGTGTTCTACGACCTTGTCACCTACCAGTTCTTCGCCTCTCAGGACGTCACGTTCGACGAGTCTGTCTGTTACTACAGGAGTCGCCCCCACCGAGGTACTGAGGTCTTTTCCCCCCCGCTGTTCCTCACCCTTGAGCCCCCACCAGTCGCCCCGGTAGCCCCCCCTCCTTCGCGTCCTGCCCCGTCAGGTGTGTCGCACGTCACTCCGCAGTCGTCCACCCCGCAGCGTCCAGTCCCTGTCGTGTCTGGGGGTGCAGGAGGTGCAGTTGCGGAGGGTGAGGGTACTGGGGCTGCAGGAGCTGGTGGTGTCGGCTCTAGGGGTGCAGGGGTTGTGGGCGTGGAGGTCACTCCTGTGGAGGACACGGCAGCCTCGAGTCGGCGGCCTCGCCCTGCCTCACCCCCTGGCTTCCCGTCCGTCCCGCAGTTTCCTCCTCGTTCTTCTCTGCGGCCGGTTGCTGCGGAGCCTGGGGGTGTTCCTGCGGGAGGTACTGGAGGCCCCAGGGGTGTCGGTGGTGGAGGTGCTGGTTCTGGGGGTGCTGGAGCTGGAGGCACTGGCACTGTGGCGCCTACACTGCGCACTGTACGTTTCCTGACCCGTGAGCAGCGTCTCCTCCGGTTGGAGAGGGAGGAGCATGAGCGGTTTGAGAGGGCACAGCAGCAGCAGCAGCAGCAGCAGCAGCAGCAGCAGCAGCAGCAGCAGCAGGAGAGAGTAGAGAAGGAGTCACAGCAGCAGCACGAGAGGGTAGCGCAGGAGTCTCGGTCGCAGCAGCGGGTGCAGCTGCAGCCGCAGCAGGAGAGGGTAGAGGAGGAGTCACGGCCGCACCAGGAGAGGGTAGAGCAGGAGTCCCGCCCGCAGCAGCAGGTGCAGTTACAGACACAGCAGGAGAGAGTAGAGGAGCAGTCACGGCCGCACCAGGAGAGGGTGGAGCAGGAGTCCCACCCGCAGCAGCAGGTGCAGTTACAGACCCAGCAGGAGAGAGTAGAGGAGGAGTCACGGCCGCAGCAGGAGAGGGTAGCACAGGAGTCCCGGTCGCAGCAGCGGGTGCAGCTGCAGCCGCAGCAGGAGAGGGCAGAGGCGGAGCCACAGGAGCAGCAGCAGGGGCCGGTACCATCGCAGCAAACGCCAGAGGAGGCGGAGCAGCAGCGACTGCGACTACGCGACCTCCCCGACCCAGCACCTGCACGCTTTGTTCGTGGTCCCCTACCGTCCCCTCCTGTTCCCCCTGTTGAGTCCCTTTCCTCGTCCCAGTGGACTCGTCGTCCTCCCCTCAGTCGTGCTGTGTCTCCACAGCCCCGTCGGTCCCGTTACCGTGCAGACGGTCCGTTTCACCTTGTTCTCCGCTCTCGTGTTCCACCTCCTCTTGTCCTTCCACAGCCCCCTGAGTCGTCCCTCACTGTGCTTCACGACCCGTTGTCCGACTACCTCCGTGCCTCCCGTCCTGTCGTCTCCTGTGTTTTGTCCGCGTTGGTCACTCACCCGACTGCACCTCTGTCGTCTGTCTCGGCACTTGTTACCACTGTCTCTGGCTTTGCCTCTTCCCACCGCCTTGAGTACGCCGCTCACTTGGTGAGTGGCCCTGCACGTTCTCCGTCCTCTGGGGGTGCTCCTGTCTTTCCCCTGGAGGTCCTAGTGGACAGGCAGTTCGAGCTTGGTTTCCTTGCGGCCGCTGTTCCTCATCTCTGCGCCATGCTGCTTGCCCCTGAGGGGGATCCAGACGCCCTTGACATCCCGATCCCTCGCACTCACGCCGAGGCGGTCTCGGGACCCTGGGCTTCGTACTGGATAGCAGCTGAGGAGGCAGAGATGGCATCTTATAGGTCCACAGGCACTTACGTCGACGCAGTCCCACCACCTGGGACGAACGTCGTCAGTGGCCGATGGCTCTACAAGGTGAAGCGGCCGCCTGGATCACCACCTGTGTTCAAGGCGCGCTATGTTGCGAGAGGCTTCAGTCAGCGAGAGGGGGTGGAGTTCTTCCAGACCTTCGCTCCCACCCCGAAGATGAGTACTCTTCGGGTGTTGCTGCATATTGCAGCCCAGCGCGACTACGAGTTGCACTCCTTGGACTTTTCCACCGCGTTCCTTCAGGGGAGCCTGCACGAGCAGATCTGGCTGCGTCGCCCGCCTGGCTTCACTGGATCTTTCCCACCTGGGACCCAGTGGCAGCTGCGTCGACCAGTCTACGGCCTGCGTCAGGCCCCACGTGAGTGGCACGACACACTTCGCTCGACCCTTGCAGCTCTTGACTTCTTTCCGTCGTCTGCTGACCCGTCACTGTTCGTTCGCCGTGGCTCGACCCCGTTCTTTGTCCTGGTCTACGTCGACGACCTGGTGTTCGCCACTCCCGACCGACGCGCGCTGGCCTCCGTGAAGGAGGAACTGCAGAGGAGACACACTTGCACTGACCTTGGTGAGCTGCAGCACTACCTTGGCCTGCAGATCACCAGGGACAGGGCAGCTCGCACCATTACGCTGACTCAGTCGCATATGGTCGAGCAGATCCTCACGCGGTTTCGCTTCCCGTTCTCCAAGGTACAGCTCACCCCTCTTGGTGTGGATCATGGGCTCACGGCTCCACCTTCGGACGAGTCATTTGAGTCCAGTGGTCCATATCCTGAGCTGGTGGGTTGTCTCATGTACCTGATGACATGTACTCGCCCAGACCTAGCTTACCCTCTTAGCGTCCTTGCGCGCTTTGTTGCGCCTGGGAGACACCGACCTTCCCCCTTTAACTGTCGCCAATCCTTGCTGCCTGATATATTTTTCTCTCCACCACTCCGCTGCGTCCAATCCCCTTGCAGGAGTCGCTCCTGAGGTGGCTGACGTCAGCATCTCCGTCTTCGTGTCTCCAAACTTCGACACAGACCTGGGTCCTCCTTATGTCTTCCGCCTGAAACCGTTCACTTGTGTGACCATGCCTGAGTGGGTGGCTGCCGACGCCCAATCGGTGGGCTATCTGTTTCGCGCTCCTGGATCGTACATGAGATGCGCTGTCATGCTCACCTACCCTCAGCCGGAGTGCGATGGGGTGCCAGTCAGGGAGAACGTGCCCGCTGCCAATGACATTGCCCAAGTGGTGTTTCCGTGAGTCACTCTCTAACGGTCCTTGTATTAAATCCAAACAATACATGACGCAGGCTTAACTCAGTCCTTGGTCTGTTCCCCTCCCCTGTTTACCTCCCTATTCCCCCTTCACCCCGTCCATCTTGTCATCTGCTCTCTGTCTCTCTCTCTCTCTCTCTCTCTCTCTCTCTCTCTCTCTCTCTCTCTCTCTCTCTCTCTCTCTCTCTCTCGCTCGCTCTCTCCCCCTCTCCCTCGCTCCCTCGCTCCCTCGCTCGCTCTCTCGCCATCTCGTTTTTTGTCTCTCTTGTTCTCGTTCCCACATCCGGTCTTCCCTGTCCTACTCTTTTTTGTCATATTTCCCCAGCGTGTGCTTCAATGTTCAAATATCTGCATTCTTTAAATGTCTTTCTTTCTCTCTACAGGGACGTCCAAAATTGGGTGGCCAGATCGTTTGATTGCCTTTTGTGGGAATCTAGAACATGAATTGGAGTTTCTGGCAATCTAGGAAACTTAACTGACTAAGGGAACGTTCCTGTGGAGACACTTGTGTCTCAACCCCCGTTTTCCCGAGTCGCCTTGTAAAATTGCCAAATGTTGTGTCACAAACAACCAATGAATCGCGACTCCGAGCGATAGACGGGCACGCCCAGGTGGCCGCTTTCTATTGGTGGCGACCACTTGGATTGGACCCGCGGCAGTTTTCCCGCGGGCATCCCAGTCTAAAAAAGCCGTCCCGCCGCTATTGTAGCGGCGAAGGCTAGCCACGGTAAAGGAAGTTGCAATTGGGTCGAGTCGGGCCTGTTCGAAACACTCCACACACACACACAGGCACGTGTGCAACTACTTCAACAAAAACAGGCACAAGTACAAAAACTCAAGCATCAAAGTCACAATGTGCCTCCCTGTCTAGCAACCATGGCACAGCCCCGCGAGGTGACATTCCTCATGCGACTGCTTGTCGCATGGGTGACGTTCTACTACAGCATCTTCATGGACGCCGTCGCCAAATCAGTCGGCGGCTTGCTGGAGGCGAACGTCTTCACCGAGGAAGTGTCTTCGGCCTCCAGCTCACGCGGCTCCAACCGCACTGCCGAGCGGAAGAGACGGGCAGGGCTTCGCCGGCGGAGGTACCACCTGCTGCTAGAGGACCTGGAAGGCATGGGGGAGGATGAATTCTGGGATTTGTTTCGCATAAACCGCCGTATTCTTGACTACATCGTCGTCGGGATGGCGCACTACATGCAGCCGTACGTTGACAGATACCTCATCAGTCACGAGGTGGCATGCCTTGTCGCTATCAAATACTTGGCCAGCGGCATGACGTTTAGAGACCTGTCATCCGTCTTCGGGCTGTCCAAGACCCTGTGCCACATGCTTGTAGACGCGCTCCTCATGCATTTCCCGACCGCCTTCAAGCAGCAGTGGGTCCACTTCCCGACCCGTGACGACCTCGACGAGATGGCAGAGGAGTTCCGCGCCATCAAAGGAGTCCCTGCTGTGGTGGGGGCTATAGACGGCACACACATACCCATGAAGGGGATGGAGGGGCACAGGCAAGAGTACTACACGCACAAGTCATGTTACGCCGTCCAGCTGCAGCTCACATGTGACGCGCGAGGCATCATATGGGACTACTTGATCGGATACCCGGGCAGTGCACACGATCAGAGAGTGTTCATGAACAGCGCGTTACACGAAAGGTTGCACAACGGCGACATAGCGCCATACCAAATTGTGGGAGATGCTGCCTACCCACTCAGGGATTTCTGCTTGACCCCCCTACATGCACCCCGTGAAGGCCTAATGGATGACTGGGAGCAGTGCTTTAACTACTGCCAAAGCGCAACGCGCATGGCAGTAGAGCGCTGCATCGGCGCCTTCAAAGGCCGGTGGCGTCTATTCGCGGGCCGCAATGATTGCATGCTCTGGCGCATTCTTGCAGGGCCGAGGTTGCGCCACTGCTTCTGCAGTGCATTCACGCCGCGCACCCACCCGGGATTCTCCTGCTCGAGATGGCGCACGAGGCGGGCCCAGTACTGGGATCCCTGCTTCCCGAGGAGGGCGCCGAGCTCGTCCTTCATAAACCCACGAGCCGCCACGAAGATGGTGCTCTCGCGGGGGGACCACACGCTCCGCCTGACAGGGTGCAGGTTGCGCGTCTTGGCTGCGCCACGAGGAGGCTCTCCGCCCTTCGCGGCAGTCTTGGTTCCGGACGCTGCAGTAGCACGGCCGCGACGGGGAGCCGGGGTAGCAGGCTGTGCCTCCTCGGGCGCGTCCTCGTCGTCGTCGGCGTCCTCATCGGCGTCGTCTTTGTCCTCGGAGGGGGACATGCCCTTGTCCTCCTCCTCGCCAGAGTCCGCATCGTCGTCGCACGCTTCGTCGCAGTCGTTGAAATCAGAGTCGTCGGCGTCGTCGTCGAAGGCCTCGTCGTCCACGATGCGGGATGATGCAACCCGGTCAGCATCACGGCGTCCACGGGTAGGGACATCACGCGGGGCTTCGAACGAGGTGTCCCCCGCACCAGGCGCAACAGCGGGCAGAGGGCCGGCGGCTTGCGGCCGGCCGCGAGCTGCTTGTTCATCCAAGCGATGTACGGGATCTCGTTGAGATCCCGCGGGCACAAGTAAGCAGTACTAGCTACGCTCTTGCGCTTACGAGCCGTGGCTACGGCTTGGAAGAAACAACAAGAAACTAAAAAGAGAGAGCTGGGGTTTGGAGTACAAGAATGGACTGGAGCGGGTGAGTGCTGTCAGCGAGGATGAAACGGGGTGTTGGAGGTCGGGCAGGGATGTGACCACACGGTCGCATCCACCAGTCATCTCTCTGCCCGGGCAGAGCAGTTTTCTTTTCCCGCTCGAAAATTGCCCATTTCGAGAGTCCAGGTGCATGCTGTACAGTGTGACATTTCGAGACGCGTACGATTTTCGGGAGGTGACTGGGCCTCGTGTAACTCGTCCGTGACACCCCCGCAATTCCCGCCAACCAATGTCTAAAATAGTGTGGATCGCATTAGTGCGGTCCGCGTTTGTGACACAGTACGTTATATGCTGTTTTTCCGAGTCACGAATGGTTTCAGACACAAGTGTCTCCGCAGGAACGTTCCCTAAGTTAGCTAAGTTAGGTATGGAGGATGATGATGTTCACTAGTGAGGGAGAAGGTACATGTACATTTGTCGCAAGAAACCCTAAACCCTGACAATGCACCTCACTACAGTTGACCTAACACATTATTATAATTTTTAAAGCCAGCAGCTAAAATAGTGACCCCCCCCTTCTAGTTGGGTCCACTTGAAAACAGAAGTTTTTTTGGAACACTTCGGACAGTTGGAAGTGCTGTGCATTTTTATTTTTTCACTCCATACGAGTCTCACTGTGAACCGGGAACATTTGGACCATGTGTACAATTTTGATTGGCAGCGAAACTCACACACAACTCACACATACTTGTGTGCGAATTTGGCGCAAGGTTGCAATGCCTGTATTCACTCGAGCAGGCATCGTAACTTCACCAAAACTCACATCAATTAACAACACAGGCAAAGTCCAACGCACACACATATGCAAGAGTTGAGAGCAAAGCTGCGAGAAAAGACGTTTTCTTGGTCTTGGGGCTGAAAGAGGTTAAAGAATTGGGTGTCGAAGAACGAGGGGAGAAAATAAGCTGGACAAGGTAATAAACAGCGGATGGGAGGGGAGAGTACAAGAGCGACATGAAGAAAAGGGAGAGAGGAGGAATGAGGGGATGGGAGGGGAGAGGAGGCGAACGACGGAATGGGAGGTGAGAGGAGGAATTCGACGGGATGGGAGGGGAGAGGAGGAATTCGATGGGATGGGAGGGGAGAGGAGGAATTCGACAGGATGGGAGGGGAGAGGAGGAATTCGACGGGATGGGAGGGGAGAGGAGGAATTCGTTGGGATGGGAGGAGGCGAACGTCGGGATGGGAGAGAGGTGGCGAACGACGGATGGGAGGGGAGAGGAGGCGAACGACGGGATGGGAGGGGAGAGGAGGAACGTGAGCGCGATGGCGAGGGGAGGGAGGAACATGAGCGCGATGGCGAGGGGAGGGAGGACGCGAAGGCGACGGGAGGGAGAGCGCGAAGGCGAGGGGGGAGAGAGCGCGAAGGCGACGGAAGGGAGAGCGCGCAGGCGACGGAAGGGAAAGCGCGCAAGCGATGGGAGAGAGAGCGCAAAGACGACGGGAAAAGTGATGGGAGGGGAGAGAGGAAGGGCGCGGGGAGGCTGTTTTAGAGAGAGAGCGTAGGCTACGAGGTGTGTGATGGGAGGGGTTAGAAGAAAGGCGTTGGGAGGAGGGCATTTCGGGGAGAGAGCTAAAACCGACGAGGTGAGCGATGGGAAAGGCGACGGGGAGAAAAGTTGTCGACAGGAAGGGAGGAGGGAGAGCGAGGGTGACGGGGAGGGAGGGAAGAAAGAGAGGGCGACGGGGGGGGAGGAGAGAGACCCGCGAAGGTGATGGGAGGGGAGCGGACAGCGGACAAAGGACTGGAGGGTAGGGGAGATGGCGAAGGCGCGAGACAGGAAACTAGCCCCTGCGGAAAGGTAACGATAGCCTGCGGAGGGGAAAATATTACGATACTATGCTACGTAACAGTCTTACGCATTCCCACAGGGCAAAAGTTACTTATCTTGGCCACAAACACCTATTGTTGTCAGCTAAAATATGCTAGGAATAAAACTAGTGACTTCGGGATGGAGAGCAGCTAGTCATGGAACCCAGTTCCAACTTGAAACCAACGTTGGCCTGGCGATCGAAACCATCGCTGGGCAACAGTCGTGCAGGTGTAGCACGTAGACATGCGACGGAGGAGATCAGCATGGAAAATTGTGTTGGCGGGAACAAGAAGCATCAAGATTGGCGAAAGCCAATAACATTTGTTCATAGTGCTAGTCGTTTTTTCTGGAACAGTGCTCTATCGGCCCGCTCTCTGCAGCACCATTTCAAGCTGGAACATACATTGTGTTTTTCGAAATTGTGCATTGTGAAAGCGAAGCTCCTTGTGTCAGAAACTAACGAGCAGGAATGATTGCATTGAATGAAATGTGGGTACAAGTACTAACCCTAACATTGGGTTGTACCCCATATGGGCTACCCCACTATAGCCTACACTGAACTAACACATATATAGTTTGACACACCCCCATAGGCAAAGTGGGGGAGAACAAGGGGTCACAAGACCAATCAAGAAAAGCAAAGCAAGCTCAGGGTGGATCACAACGTCACCACACACTCCGAGCACAAGCAAATGGCCACAAGGCCAGTTCACATGCAGAGGTATATATGCAACAACAACAATACAGTGATCACTACCTAGCAGAAGTAGGCATGCAGGTATACAATATAGATCGCAGTACAAGCAAAGTCAAGAGGTGAGCAAGTGAGGCCAAGTAGGCACAAGTCCTAGAACAGTACAGAACCGCTGATGATCACAAGGCTGAAGTGCCTTGGTGAAGATATCAGCAGTGTTGGCCCGAGAGGCCACGTAAACAAGACGAAGATGTCCAGGCTGCTGCAACTCTCGAGCAAGGAAGTAACGCAGAGCGATGTGCTTCATTCTGTGCTCCAGTCGGTGCTCCTGACACAAGGCAATTATGGCCTTGTTGTCGACGTACAGAACTGGAGGAGAACGAGGCAGCTCTCTCAAGTCGGTCAACAGGTAGGTGAGCCAGCGTAACTCCTGTGCAGCCATGGCCCCTGCGTAGATCTCAGCCTCACAACTGGAACTGCGAACAGAAGACGAGCGGGTAGACCGCCAGGAAACAGAGCCGGAGCCAAGACTGAAGGTGTAACCCTGTGACGACCGCTGCGTAGCCAAGTCGTCAACCCAAGAAGCGTCTGCGTGGCCAGTGAGGACAACTCGAGCCCGTCCTCCAAGCACGAGCCCCATGCCCGACGTACTGCACAAGTAGCGCAACACCCTCTTAGCGGCCTCCCAGTGCTCTGGTCGGTGTCTCCCGGGCGCAACGTAGCGTGCCTGGATGCTAAGAGGGTAAGCAAGGTCAGGTTGAGTGCAGGTCATTAGATACATGAGTCAGCCTACAAGCTTTGGATACGGGCCACTCGGCTCTACGGACTCATCCGAAGGCAGAGCTAAGAGAGAGTTACCAGTAGGCAGAGGAGTGGACTGTGGCGAGGAGTACATGAAGCGGAAGCGCTGAAGGACCTGCTGCACCATGTGTGACTGAGTCAGGGTAATGGTGCACCGTGCTCTGTCCCGAAAGATCTGCAAGCCAAGATAGATGCGCAGCTCACCCAGGTCTGTGCACGTGTGTCACTTCTACAGCTCCGACTTCACGTGGGCGAGTCCCTCAGTGTCAGCAGTGGCAAAGACCAAGTCGTCGACGTACACGAGGATGTAGAACGGCGGCAGCGAAATGTCGGTGCGCAGAAACAGCGACGGGTCAGTAGTCGAAGGAGCAAACCCAAGAGCCGCAAGCGCCGTCCTGAGTGTGTCGTGCCACTCGCGAGGTGCCTGACGGAGACTGTAGACTGGCCGTCGGAGGCTCCACTGGGTAACTGCAGGAAACGACCCAGTGAAGCCAGATGGGCGGCGCAGCGAGATCTCCTCGTGCAGGCTGCCCTGCAAGAAAGCTGTGCTGAAGTCAAGAGAGTGAAGCTCGTAGTCACGCTGAGCGGCGACGTGCAACAGAACCCGAAGAGTGGTCATCTTCGGGGTAGGGGAGAAGGTCTGGAAGAAGTCAACTCTCTGTCTCTGACTGAAGCCTCGTGCAACGTAACGCGCCTTGAAGACAGGCGGAGAACCCGGCGACCACTTCACCCTGAAAATCCACATGCCACTGACGATGTTCGCCCCAGGTGGGGGAACTGCGTCAACGAAGTGCCTGTGGACTTCCAGGATGCCATCTCTGCGTCCATGGCTGACTGCCACTGAGAGGAGTAGCGACCCGAAATCGCCTCTGCGTAAGAGCGCGGGGTCGGGATGTCTGGTGCATCCGGGTCTCCCTCGGGTGCAATCAGCATGGACACGAGATGAGGTACAACAGCTGCAAAACACTCAAAGTCTTCCTGCCTGTCCTCAAGGACGTCCGTGCCAAGAGCACACTCACCCCCGACGGACGGAGGACAGGCAGACTCAGACTCAGAACCAAGACTAGCGGCGTAGTCGAGACGACAAGCAGCAGCAAATCGGACAAGCTCAAACGAAGGGTCAGTGACAACAGTGGCTAAGAGACGCGTCACAGTAGGACTGGCAGCACGAACTAGGTCAGACTCAGGGTCCGGAACGTGCGGAAGAGAGGACCCAGGAGGAGACGGCAAGGGAACACGCTGTAGAACAGAGGAAGGACGAAGTGCCATAGTGTGCGTGCCGGGGACAGGAGGAGGACGCTCACGAGGAACACGACGACCAGTGCGACCAGCGCGAACAGGCGAGGCAGGACGAGACGCAGGCTCACGACGCTCTGTAAGCGAGTCTGTCTGCTCAGTGTAAGGAGAAGGAGCAGGCAGAGGAGAGCCTGGCTGTAACGGAAGGCCAGTAGAAGACGGGAGGCTAAGAACCTGGTGAAGCACGGAGTCAGGCGGTGGCCGAGACGACGGGGACGGCAGAGCAAAGAACAGGCGCGGCTGTGCAGTACCACCAGCACCAGTACCACCAGCACCAGCACCTCCAGTACGAGCACCAGCAGCTCCAGCGCCTCCAGCAGCTCCAGAACCTCCAGCCCCAGCGCCTCCAGCTCCGGCACCTCCAGCTCCAGGGCCTCCAGCAGCAGCACCCCCAGAACCGGCACCTCCAGCTCCAGGGTCTCCTACTCCAGGGTCGACAGTACCAGCTCCAGGGCCTCCAGCTCCAGTGCCTTCAGCAGCAGCACCCCTAGAACCGGCACCTCCAGCTCCAGGGTCTCCAATTCCAGGGTCGACAGCACTAGCTCCAGAGCCTCCAGCTCCAGGGCCTCGAGCAGTAGCACCCCCAAAACTGGCACCTCCAGCTCCAGGGTCTCCAACTCCAGGGTCGACAGTACCAGCCCCAGGGCCCCCAGCTCCAGTGCCTCCAGCAGCAGCACCCCCAAAACCGGCACCTCCAGCTCCAGGGTCTCCAGCTCCAGCGCCTCCAGCTCTAGTGCCTCCAGCTCCGGCACCTCCAGCAGCAGAACCTCCAGCTCCAGCAGCGCGACTCCGAAGGGGGGTGCACAACGCAAGCCACTCGCGCAGCTGCTGCGGCGAGAGAGGTGACCGCTGCGACGCAGCACCAGGAGGACCTCCAGCAAACTCAGCACCCCTAGGCTCAGCACCAACAGACTCAGTACCCCCTGGGCCAGCACCTCGAGGGCCAGCACCCCCAGCTCCAAGGTCTCAAACTCCAACGCGCGGGTCTCCAGCTCCAGTGCCTCCAGCACCACAGACCCTGGCAGCTCGAGAACCTCCGGTACTAGCACCTCCAGGGCCCTCAGCGGCAGCAGTACCAACACCCCCAGTGCTAGCAGTACCACCAGTCCTAGCCGCTCCAGTACCTCCAGTACGAGCACCTCCAGAACCAGAAACACCAGCACCCTCAGCGCCTCCACGACTAGCAGCTCCAGCAGCTCCAACCGCAGCACCTCGAGCAGCAGTACCTCCAGCAGTAGGACCTCCAGCTCTAGCAGCACGACTCCTCATGCGGGCACGCCACGCAAGCCACTCTCATAGCTGCTGTGGTGAAAGAGGCCCTCGTCGTGAAAAGAGACCCGGAGGAACGCCAGCAGACTCAGCACCCCCAGACTCGGCACCCTCCGGCTCAGCACCCCCAGGCTCCGCACTCGTAGGCTCAGCACCCCCAGGCTCCGCACCCCCGAGCACCTCACGCACAGGCTCAGCATCCCCAGATGCAGCACCCCGAGCAGCACCACCCGCAGCAGCACCTGAGTCGCTAGTAACCTCTACAGGCTCAGCCAAGGGGAGTGGGTCTACCTGAGACACACCTGAAGGAGCAGGACCCTGAGGGGGGAGGGGGTCTACCGGAGGGGGACCTGGAGCGAGGAAAAGCGGCGAGGGAGGGAGGGGGGCAGTACGGTAGGGGAAGAGACGGTAAAAAGGTACCGACTCGTCAAAGGTGACGTCCTGAGAGGACAGAACACCTCGCGAGGTGGGGTGGTAAAACTGCCAGCCAGGCGCGTCAGGGGGGAAGCCGAGGAAGACACAGGGAATGGTGCGGGAGGAGAGCTTGTCCGCGGACGTATCGCGGACAAGGGCACGAGCACCCCAGACCCGGAACACCGACGCATCGCCAACCTCTCCCGTCCAACGCAGTGTGGGCGAGGTCTCCGGCAAGGAGACACGGGGCCAGAGGTTGAGCTGCTGTGTGGCGTACCGGACCGCAAACGGCCACAGAAAATGGGGAGCCGCCGCATGGATCAAGGAGGTACGAGCGATCTCCATGACCAAGCCAATGCGGTGCTCAGCAACCCCATTTTGCTGCGGTGAGCCCGGAAGCGTGAACGACTGGAGGATGCCCTCCCCCTGACAGAAGGCCCGCCAGAGGTCGGAGGAGAACTCACCACCTCTGTCAGAGTGCAGACGCAGGACAGGGAGGTCCTGGCGGAACCGCTCGCGGAGCTGGAGACGAACTGCTCGGATCCAAGGGATCAGGACAGCGGGGACCTCACCCTTGGTGCGCAAGGGGAAGACCGTGGTGTAACGCGAGTAGTCGTCGACAACCAGCAGAAAGTACCGCTCGCCGTCCTGTCGACGAACGCGGGCTGGGCCCCACACGTCCATGTGGAGGGTCTGCAGGGGAGCCTCTGTCGGGGGAAATGAGGAGGAGTGAGGAGCGGCGCGCTGCCGCCCCTCGACGCAAGGAAGGCAGGGCGGCGCAGGCGAGGCAG